TTTCTGCAACACCGTTTTTACGTACCTTACTGCACGTTTCGCCGCAGTTTCAAAGAGAAATGTCCACTGAGTGGCGCTAAAACACGGGTTCAATACGTGAGCCCTGGCACGTTTTTATTACGTTGATATAGGTACGTATTGCTGTGTTTTTATTACGTTTCTTCAGGTACGTATTGCGGCGATTCAGAATTCAAATATCCGGGGACTGTCGCTAAAAGTTAATGCTCTGTCGTGTTGGAAATATGCCCTATACCAAACCCAACCCTAAACCTACCCGATAGTGTTAACAAACACAAAACTGATATAAAACACATTTTTTGATGCAACCGTGCCATTTTACCTTCCTTATATGCAGATTTGAACTGTTTTGTTGAACCGTAGTTACACGGGATTCGAAACGGAGCTCCTCACGTCTCAAGTACGTCTCTGTACTCCGTGAGCTACCGAACAAACCTATCGTCTATGAAAACCCATTGATATGAAGCTGGATATGTGCGGTGCTAACAATCAAAAGCATCAGTTTTCAAATCTCCCAGCATATTAAAAATGTTTTGAAGTCACAACATAATACTCTTCAAGTAATTGTGCGAAAATTACGCTTTATTAATCGAAACTCTGTAAATCATACTTTGTGTGAAAATAATTTAAAAGGTGTCGGAGTTTTACTGCCTCTAGTGTTCATTTTTTTGAAAACTGCAGTGATATGTACTTATTGGTACGTATTTCGCGTCTTGCAAAAATGTACCTCCATGTACGTATTTGCCATGAGACTGGGTTGAAATTATCAACTACATTTGCCAAAATGCATTATACCACAGAGCATAATGCACTCAATTTGATCTCACATTTCAGTATGCTAAATGACTTGAAAGTAATTCATTATTTGATCAGATCAGCAAAGAGTTTTGCTCAAAATTGAAATAAAATGCAAAATAATTTGTCATGTGACAAACACAGCAACGCTTGACAATGCAGCATACTGCTAAAATCTGTACTATTTGGAAAAAGAAGTATGCAATAATTCAGCATTTACTCCACAGTATGCTAGTATTCCATAGGCATTATTTCACCATAAATGTTTTAAATTATCACCTGACCTCATTACATTTTTAATTCAAGCAAGTGGCATCTTCTTGGAAATAAAACTATTTTGCATTTTTAATACAGTGTTGCATAAATATGTCAAGTTGACCAAAATGCATTGTGAGATACAGTGTAAGTAAGGACAGCTCTACATAAGACTCAAGCCATATGGACTACTTTTATAATGCATTTCATGTAAGAATGTATAGGGTGGAAATGACATAAGGGTGAGTAAATGCCCAAATTTTAATTTTGTGATGAACTGCTTCTTTAACTGTTTTTGAATTAAAAATTTCCATACACTATTTTCCTGTCCTACATTTGTAATTTAACCCAGCTAACATATTTGTCACTTCCCATTGTTCCCATCGAGGACATCATGCTCTTTTGTTTTAGGTTTTATCTAGCATGTCTAATGCTTATGTTGTTCTTCCATAATTGAAAATGACACTGGAATTTGTTGTAATAAATGTAAGCGAATGAATACATTTGCGTTTTGGCTTTGAAAGAAGTCCTTATTCCTCTTAACCATTTGCCATCTTTGTTTTTCTCCTCTCCAGAACAAGACCAAAAGTTCAGTACAACGGATATGCAGGCCACGAGAACACTAATGGACAAGCTTCATTTGAGAATCCCATGTACGATACAAACATGAAGCCAACAGAGGCAAAGGCTGTGAGGTTTGATACGACCCTAAATACAGTCTGCACAGTAGTATAGCCTTCATTATCAGCTCTGGACCGACCTGCCTCATGGGTAA